TTTTTTTTTTTTTTTTTTTTTGATGTAGTTTCACTCTTGTTGCCCAGGCCGGAGTACAGTGGTGTGACCTTGGCTTACTGCAGCCTCGCCTCCTGTGTTCAAGTGATTCTCCCGCCTCAGCCTCCCTAGTAGCTGGGACTACAGGCATGCGCCAACACCAGGCCCAGCTAACTTTTGTATTTTTAGTATAAACGGAATTTTTCCATGTTAGCCAGGCTGGTCTCGAACTCCTGACCTCAGGTGATCTGCCTGCCTTGACCTCCCAAAGTGCTGGAATAACAGGCATGAGCCACCACACGCAGCCTAGACCATGGCTTTTACTACTCTTTTATCTCTCTTGAATATGGCAGACTCACTTTTGTTGAAGTTGGAAATGGGCCTTTTTTATGGCAAACCCAAATCACAGGAAGCTGCTACTCTAGAAGTTTGTAGAGGAGGGGTCGACAGACTAGGGCCTGGGAACCAAATCTTGTCCACTGCTCATTTGTGAAAATATAGTTTTATTGGAGTATAGCCATGTTCCTTTATTAACTTATGGCTGCCTTTATGCAATACGCTGCTAGAATTGAGTCATTGCAATGGAGACTGTGTAGCCCACAAAGCAAAAAAGAAAAGTAAGATATTTAGTTTCTGACTCTGTAGAAAGTGTTTGCCAATGTCTGCTCTAGAGTCATAGGCTCTTGTAGCATTCTTGGAAATTCTGGAGAAGGAATTTCTTGGGGTTGTACTGGCCAGTAGCAGAGGGCAGTGGGAGGAATACTCAATTTGGAGTCAGACAGATCTAACTCTTCCCGTGTTTCCTGTGGGCGTTGAGCAAATCACTTCACCTGTGTGGGCCAACATGACATCACTTGGGCCCACAGCCCTGTGTAGACTGTGGATCTCTGCATCCCAGAATCCCTGTGAGGATGGAACATGGATCGGACTGGCCCAGCCCCAGGCACATAGTGAGTGCTCATTCCTGGTCTAGCCCCAGACACATAGTGAGTCTTCATTCCTGGTCTAGGGTTAGGCACATAGTGAGTGTTCATTCCTGGCATAGCCCCAGGCACGTAGTGATGCTCATTGCAGGTGTAGCCCCAGATACATAGTGAGTCTTCATTCCTGGTCTAGGGTTAGGCACATAGTGAGTGTTCATTCCTGGTGTAGCCCCAGGCACATAGGAAGTGCTCATTCCTGGTGTAGCCCCAGGCACGTAGTGGGTGCTCATTCCTGGCTTAGCCCCAGGCACGTAGTGAGTTCTCCTTCCTGGTGTAGCCCCAGGCACATAATGAGTGCTCATTCCTGGTCTAGCCCCAAGCACATACTGAGTGCTGCTTCCTGGCCCAGCCCCAGGCACATAGTGAGTTCTCATTAAATGCTAGCTCCCTCTCCGGCTCATCAGGAGGCCTGACCATGTTACAAGGTTGTGTAAGCAGACATTTGGTCTGAATCTGGTTTGGCAGTAGATTGTAAATATTTAACCAAAATGTAGGCTTTAGAGTTTTATGAACTGAAGTGGCTATCCTAAAATAGCTGATGTCACAGTTTTATTCCAAAAGCTGATCTTTTCACCAGTCCGGTCCTGACGGGTACGTCCAGTATTCTGTGTTCAGAGGAGGACACTCTGAGCAAGCAGATTGAGGCCAACCCTCTTTGGAAGAACAGGCTCTGAGGATGCGTTTGCAGGCTCTCATTGTCCCCTCGCTGCTGGTGAGCGCTCTCTGCATCCTGAATGTGATCTGTTCCAGCTGCCATCTCTCCTGAACTGCCACACACTTTAGATTGGAATGCAGCTGGTAAAAGAATTTTTACACTTACCAAAGGAAGAGTGGAATTTTTTTCTCAATAAAATCACAGTTGGAAGGGTTTTAACACTGCAGGTGTTGCTTATAGGAACTGTCAGTTCATTCAGTGGATTTCCCTCAAACCCTGCCCCGTCCCACCCTCCCTTCCTCCCCATACCCACACCAGCAAACAGTAACAGAGACTGTGTCTCCAGAGTCCTTTGTTTATATCACAGGAAAACCACAGACTTGGGAACGCCGCAGCTGGGAGGCTATTACTTTTTGTCTGAGTCTTCTGGGGTTCTAGCAAAATGAAATCCATGTGATGGAGATAAACAAGCCAAGTCGTCACAAATCGATTCAACACACTGTCTGTTATTTGTACCTGCATCCTGTTTTGTATAGTTTCTTCTCGGATTTTTAGAAACTTTTGTGAGCATGGTTATTTCTGTCTCTGATTCTATCATTTTTGCTGCTGGTTGACCAGTTCAGTTCAGATTGCCCAGCACAGTGCAGGGATCTGTGAGGCTCAGAAAGGCGTAAACCTTTTGCAAGATGTTTGGATTCCAGTAGGTGAGGGGCAAGGGATGTGTAAGATGAGAGCAGTGCCCAGTAACTTTAATAGAAGAGATGAGGAAATCAGTGCCTTAAGAAAAGTATAAAACACACCCTCTGTAAAGAAGGAGGAGTTCACATCCAGGTGGAGGCAAGGAGGCAAGGAAGGCCTTCACAAGTAAGCGGCGTTTGAAAGAGATCAGGGCGAAGTGTTGAATGAATCTGTGATGAGGAAGGCGTTTCACACAGAGTGGAAACACGAGCAAAGCTCTGTGAGGTCAGGAAAACGAACGCGTTTGGTTGAAACTGCTATTCTCATAGGGGCTTCCTCAGGCTGCTCCTCCTGTACTTGGACTGACACAGTTAAGACTGGAAACAAGGCTGCCCTCACGGAGTCTAGACCCTGCTGGGAAGAAAACTGAGAACAACCAATACTGTAAATAAATGTATCTTATAAATGTAAAAAGGACTGTTGGCTTGCCACCGTGGAGTACAGTTGTTGGATGATTCTGAGTTGACGGAAGGGGGCTTCCCTGACAAGATGGATTGAGCCAGCCAACTTGGTGATGATACTCTCCTGGGAGGCTCATTCTCACGGAAGGCACCCTATGGCGTCCTCCTTGGCCGGCATATAGCACATTCCCTGTCTGCCTCTTCACTGCATTGCCAGGCCCTTTCCTGCCACTCACTCCTGCGTATATGCCCTCTTCTGCAGCGATAGCCATGTTCACTTCCCTGAATGTGCATTGCTCTTTTGTGGCTTCCGTGCCTTTCCTCATTTTATTCTTTCTGCCCAGAATTTTCTTCCTGCTATGGTCTACCCAAGGAGCACATCCGTTAAGATCGAGTTCAAATGTCTGCCCCTGTTTAAAAGCCACAGAATTCACCCTTTTGAAGTGTACAGTTGGCCAGATGCAGTAGCTCATGCCTATAATCCCAGCACTTTGGGAGGATGAGGAAGGCGAATCATTTGAGGTCAGGAGTTTGAGACCAGCCTGGCCAGCTTGGGGAGACCCTATCTCTACAAAAAATACAAAAAAATTGTTTGGTGTGGTGGTGCATGCCTGTAGTCCCAGCTACTCAGGAGGCTGAGATAGGAGAATCACTTGAATCTGGGAGGCGGAGTTTGCACTGAGCTGAGATTGCATCGCTGCACTTCAACCTGGCGACAGAGCGAGACTTTGTCTCATAAATAAATAAATAAAATGTACTGTGTAGTTGTTTTTAGTATATTCACAATGTCATGAAACTACCACCACCATCTAGTTTCAGAACATCTTCATCACCCCAGAAAGGAACCCCATGCCTGTCAGCAGTCCTCCATTCCCCTGGCACTGTTAGTCTACTTGCTGTCTCTGGGTTTACCTCCTCCAGACATTTCACATCATAGACTCACACAGCGTGTGGCGTCTTGTGCCTGCCTCTCTCCGCTCAGCGTCGTGTTTTCAG